TAACTATCCGAAATAAAGCTCATGCCAATGGCCTAAGTGGTCACCTTTAATATTAAAAAAAAAAAAAAAAAAAATTTAAAATACTTATAAAATATAAATACAAAAAACTTTTATATAACTTAAGCAAAAATATCTTAGCAACTATCTAATCAAATTTAGTGGATTTTTTTTTTATTTTATTTTACAATTTTGTAAAATCAAAATTAAAAAATTTATCAAATTTGTTTTGGTAGTTGCCAAGCTATCTTTATTTAAAGTTTTATAAATCTTATTAAAAAAATAGCTATAGTAAAGTTTTTGTAAAGCTTTAAGCAAAAATAACTTAGCAACTACTCAATCAAATTCAATAAATTTTTTTTTATATTGGTTCTACAGAATTGTAAAATAAAAATAAAAAATTTTATTGAATTTGATTAAGAAAATTACTACGTTTAACCGGGGGGAAAATTACCTCCCTTAGTATTTTTAGGGTTAGGGTGCAGCTTTGAGATATATAGGAGTTTTTTTTATAATATAATATATATTGGATATAAGGTTCTAATTTTAGTTTTTGAGATGTTTTCAGGGGTCCTGAACATTTTTGCTTAAGATACCCGATCCCGTTTACTTAGTACGTTTTGATTAAATAGTTCCAAATTTTTTTCAATTAAAATTTTACAAAAATTTAAAACATTTAATAACAAGATAATAGCTACAGTAAAATTTTTGTAAAACTTTGAGTAAAGATAACTTGGCAACACCTAACCAAATTCAATGAATTTTTTTTTTATATTGATTCTATGGAATTGTAAAATAAAAATAAATAAATTTTATTGAATTTGATTAGATAGTTGCCAAACTATTTTTGCTCAAAATTCGATTAATTTAATTAATCATAGTTGTAGTAAAATCTTTATAAAGCTTTAAGCAAAGATAGCTTGGCAATCACCAAAGCAAATTTAATAAATTTTTTTTATTTTGATTTTACAGAAATGTGAAATAAAAATAAAAAAAAATTCATTAAATTTAATTAGATAGTTGCTTACTTTTCACCAGGGCTCTTAAGTAACATAAACATACATTCCTGATCAAGAAAAATACATCGGATAATTTGTTATAACTTGGTAAAATTTATTATAAACTGCGTTTATAATCCTTAACATTAGGCCGATTAGCAATTAGATAATTAAAATTTTACATATTAATTTATCGTTCAGTTGCTACATGGTATTCAACGTTTCGACTTTAACTTTTTAGCGCGTTTATCACGCTTTGATTTTACAGCTTTTTCGCGTTTTCGTTTGTTGTTTGTCTCTAAAGTTTCATCTTGTTCCTTTGTAACAAGTTTAGATTTTTGTTTCTCTAGTTTAGACTGAAACCAAGTCCGAGCAGGTTTACTAAATATCTCTGTTTCATGTGTCAAAATATTTTTATTTTTTTGTACTTCCATTTCTGCAAGACGCATAGCTTTTTCTTCTTTTTCTTCTTCAATGACTTCTTTAATTTGATTTTTTAATTTATCAATTTTCTCGCGATATTTTGCAATGATCTTCGCATCGATAGTACGTCGCCTGATTTGGCTTTTAGTTGCATGTTTAATCACTTTCTTTAAAAGCTTACGGTCTGCTTCACATGTGAAGGTTACAGACCTATAAATTATGATATCAATTCAATTAATGTAAAAATATTGATGAAACCATAATAATAATAATAATAATACCGTCCGTCACGTCCTGCACGGGCTGTTCGGCCGACACGATGTATATATTGCTCGTAACTTTGTGGCATATCATAATTTATAACAGTTTCAATGCCTTTAATATCCAAACCTCGTGATGCCAAATTGGTAGCTAAGAGAAAATCTACTTTGCCATCTCGGAAAGCCTCAAGAGCCTCCATGCGCTATATACGCACCGAATAAAGAAGCATATTAAAGATGATGAAAATTAATTATAATATAATTTAAAACTTAATTTCTTACTCGCTCTTGTGATAAATTTCCATGTAATTCTGCAGCCTTCAAATCCAAAAGACCAAAAATTATCTTCATTTCATGAGCAATAGCTTTACTTTTGAAGAAAATTATAACTTTACGACGAAATGTCTTTTTGCATAATGCAACTAACATAGAAGGCCGATCTTCTTCACGATGTTTTCTTATGCGAATAAATTCCTGTACGAGCTTTACCGCAGTTGCCTTTGTTGGATCGATCATTAGTCGTACCGGTCGATTCAGTGAAAGACGAATTAGTTCATCGACATTATCTGTCATGGTGGCAGAGAAAAGCATTGTCTGCCTTGATTTTGGACAATTCTTTACGATCTCATTTAACTCTGCAGAGAATCCATCTTCCAACATCCTTATGAGCAATGGTCATAGGGTAATTAAATCATCATATTAAAGAAACGTAATTACAAAAATTAACATAACCTTTCATACCGATCGGCTTCATCTATTATCAAAATTTCAATAGTGTCCAGAGTAAATGAAGGTGAATTTCGCACATGGTCGATCAGTCGCCCTGGAGTAGCAATAATGATATCAGGACGTGTGCGAAGTTCTGCTTCTTGTTTTTTGAGATTTAATCCCCCTAATAACAATTAGTACCAGGACATTAGTTTCGAAGAGACGTGTTATAAACAAAACCATAAGAACATAACATAAATCACATAATGGATTTGATAACCAACCAATGCATAGACAAAGTGTTGTGTCTGTGAATGATGCCAGTTTAGTTGCGACACTATGGCATTGAATTGCTAGCTCACGAGTTGGTGTCAGAATAAGTACTCGCACAGAAGGAGTCTGTCTTGGTCTATATAATAAGCGCTCCA